GAACCGAACGAACACGAACAGAGGCTTGTTCATGTTCGTTCGTTTAACTTAACCGAACAAACGAACGAACACGAACGGTAAACGAACGAAAATCTTTGTGTTCGTGTTCGTTCGTTTAGAAATAAGGTGTGTTCGTGTTCGTTTATGTTCGTTCGTTAACATGCTAAACGAACGTAAACGAACGAACATAAACGAACGGTCTAAACGAACATGTTAAATGAACATAAATAAATATTATTTGAATTCAAAGTGAATAAATAAAAGATTATATATTAAATTTAATATATATAAACGAACGTAAATAAACGGTAAATGAACGAACCTTCACGAACATAAATGAACGAACGAGACTCTTATTCATGTTCGTTCGTTTAACTAAACGAACAAAAAAAATTGTTCATGTTCGTTCATTTATTAAATAAACGAACATAAACGAACTTCCCGCCGAACGATTCACGAACGGTTCGCTGAACGTTCGGTTCGTTTACAGCCCTAACTGCCAAACATCCCCTTATTAAAAGCTCCACTACTGATTATCAAACTCAATTATTCATTGTGATAAGTAGATAAAGAAGCAAACATGGCACAAAGTCTATTGCTACGACGAATCCATACACGAATGGCAGTTTTCGAATAACAAGAGATAATAGAAAGAAAATAATAGTAACCGTAGAATATAGCAGTCATTAATTCGTTTGACGACGTACAAGAAAATGACCTAATCAAAACCCATTTGCATGATCCAAAGTTTTAGCTTTATTTTCAGGTAAAAAGTTGATTATTAGCAACTATTAAGGAATTTGTCTTTAATGAGACCAATGTGAGAGAAGGTTAGGGGCTGTTTACCAAACACTTAACTAGTAAGTGTTTACGGGTAAAATTTAACACTATTATTTACTTATCGGATAAGATTTTAGTCCATAAAAACGACATGGTATGCAACAATTTACGCGGTAAGCGCTTACTATGTTAAGAGTCATTGCCCTCACTTACCGGGTAAGACTTGTGATCCTTGTCTCGCTCTTACCGGGTAAGATTCTTGGTTCTTACCATATTCATCCGGTGAGGTAATGTTACTTGGTAAGCGCTTACCTAGGTAAGAGTTTGGTATACGACTCCTTAATGTCTTATTAAATCAGACTTTTAAGTTGACTGAATCATTAAGCTTCAATCAATGTTTAATATTTAAAATTGTTGTCTTTTGGTTTGATGAGATTCTTAGAATTTAGAAAGAAAAGAGAAGGACGTCATTAATGTTCACAAGGACCATTTGTACCTCTTCATTTATTTATTGTACAAAACACACTTTAGAGCTAAGCCTAAAATGGTCATTGAAATTGTTGTGGTCTTTTTGGGTACCTTTATATTTTCCATAATTTTACTTTTATTGTTGCATCATATTTGTATAACCAATGCAATCCAATCAATTGAGATATTTATGAAAATGATGATAGTTTATTTGTTATGATTTGAATATTTATGAAAGATGACTAGAGTTCAATAATTATGATCAATATTTTATATTAACAAACAATCAGAACTTTTATGAAATCATATATTTATCAAGTTAAACAGACGGTTGAGATTGAGTTTTATTCGTTGTACAAATATAAACAGTTGCATAAAACCACTCCAATTTGTAAAAACTATAAAAACTACTCTCATCCGTCGTTAATCTTATGAAAAAATTTCATGAAATTGTTAATCTTGTGAAATTGTTTCATATAATACTTTTTTTGAT